CCAAATCCTTGGGAAGTCCATCTCAAGGTCTAAACAGAAGCTCTGTTGCTTTTTATACTCTTATTCCCTTCCGTTGGCACATGAGAGCAGATGGAGCAGTCCCCTTCCAGGCTGCACATGCCCAAGGTCTCTGAATGCTCTGCCACTGGTCTCTCTTTTCAGGAGCTGTCCCTTCAGCTGTCACCATGTGTTTCTCCACTGCAGTGACAGCCAGGACATGTCCCATCATCTTCACTGAATGACTAGTGGTAGTGACCTCTTGGAAAGAAGAGGCAGGGTGGCAAACTGCCAGATATGGTTGAACCCAGTTTCTGGCAGCTGGTTGACTCATTTTTTTTCCTGATCTAGACTCCCTTCTTCCCACTTCATAGGATGCAGGCTACCCCTGACTTACCTGAAAGCATTTAGAGAGGGCAAGGTATCGTTTGGAATTAGTTGAAATAACCAAAGAATGAGAGTGTTGCCTGCTGTAGGGAAATGACTGCCTCACAGCGTGGCTGATCCCCACGGGTGCCACCCACCCCTAGGCTTCTGGTTCAGGGCCAGGCAATGCCATGCTTGCCTTGGCAAACCCACTCGACCTGCCCCATCCTCACCTGCTCCTGATGACCTCTGCATTCATGGTACCAGTGGCCCAGGTGTGACAGTCAGAGGAGCAGCTTGCTCTTAGCAGTAACTGTAAACTGGGTGTTTAGAGCAACCTCATTACCCTAACTGCAGAAAGCTCAGGCTCTGTGAGGTCTAAGGAAAGGGGTCTGCTGGGGCTGCCTGTATAGCTGAGCCTTGGCCAGTTCCAGGCAGGGTCAGCCCTGTTACTGAGCCCAGTGCCTGCAAGACCCCGTGGCAGGGGCTTGGGACACGGAGCCAGTGGCACACCTTTTCTTAGGGTTGCTTGGCTGAGAGGGCAGGAGGGGTACCAGGAACAGCTTGACAGTGACATGAATTAGTGTGAGGGTGTTTGCCTATATAGCAGAGTACAATATGGAAGAATTTGGGTGCACTAATGCAGGGCACCCAAATAATGTATCATGCCTAGCTGATACACCCCTCTTCACCAAAGCTCTAAGAGCAGGCAGGGCAGCCATAGGCTAGCTACCTGGGGCTTTCTTGTGATGGGCTCTAACCTCTCCCTAGAGGTCTTCTGTTGAGGTTTGGTCTGTTGCTATGTATTATAATGCTAAAGTCTGTACCAAAGATCTACCTCACTGATGAGGAGGTAGCCAGACCAATAGAAGGGTAGATTAGGGGTTACCCTCCCCACCCCAGTAATTGTCAAAGCCAAATAAAATAGCGATAGTCTGAGTCTTATTTGTTTGTAAGCTAGTCAGGGATAAGTTTAAATTGGTTGTACTACAGTCTTCTCTGGATGGCGGCTCCAAGAGGAGAGACAAGATTCTAGGGATGAGACCCAAGGCGGCACTCGTGCTGTGGGGGATGGAGATGGCAGGAGACAGCATGGATCATGGAAGAAAGCCATACCCAAGAATAGCAGACCAAGCAGAGAGGAGGCTGGAGCCAGCCTGACCTTGCTCAACAGCTAGATTGCTCTAAATACTTACCTGGGCTAGAGAAAGGAAGAAAGGAAGAAAGTGACTTCCATCCTCTGCTCTGTGTCACCCGTCTCCCAGTCTGTATCATGCCTTCCAAGGTGCTGGCACAAGGTGCTGCCATGCACTCTTGCCTCCCCATGCAGGGTACTGTGGCACCTGGCATCACCTCCATGGCTGAGTGTAGCCCACCCAACTCTCTATTGACTCAAGGTCATGTGTATCTGAGCTCAGAGTTCATCTCCACCTAGGTCTTGGCCTTCTCGATGAGGACAGGCCTTTGAAGAAGGGACTATGGCATTGGTGCGATCCAGAGCCCCACACCAGACCCTAACAACACTGTCTTGGCTCTGAGCAGTTTTCACAGCACCATGTGTGCCCCAACCCAATGCAGGCAAGCCCGGCCTTCCCCACACTCCAAACACAGTCAGTGCGAGCCTCCCACCCCAGTTTCAAGGTATAGGGCCATGCGGTTGTTCACTGTGTGTGCGTGTACACCAGTCTCCTGCTTCCTCCTTCTGAGATGATCAGAAGGGGACACGTCAGGTGGTAGCAACGCTGCTGCTCTTTCTACTAGCCATGTCAGCCACGTGGGAAGGCTAATGTTCAGACCATTGCTTCCAGCCCAGGCTCCTGCCTCACAGAGAGCCTGTGGCTCTGTTCTACCAGCCAAGAGAACAGTTTGATTTCTTCCCTATGTCCACTTGGACTTCATTCTGAAGAAACCTGCTCATCCCAGGAGACTGCCCAGTCCTTTCGCCAAACAGGGGACATAGCCAGCTGGACCTCACAGTGCATACAAGGTGCTTAGGCAGTGAAGAGCCACAGGTTACCTCACTGGGAGACAGTAATCCCACAACCCCGCCTCATCACATTCCCTAGTCCAATCCCTGCACCTACTCCAAGTGGATAAAGAACAGCTCGGAGGAGGCCAGGGTAGGAGATGAAGGGTAGGTGGGAGACAGGGGATGTGGGTGGGGGTTGGGGGTGGGAGATAGGAGGTGGGGTGGGAGATGGGGGGGAAGGAGATGAGGAATGGGAAATAGGGTGGGAATGAGAAATGGGGTGAGGTGGAAAATGGGGGATGGGGTGGAGGTGGGGGTGGGAGATGGGTGGGGGGTGGAGAATGCGGGGTGGGGGTAGGAGGTAGAGGGTGGGGGGTTGGAGATAGGGGTGGGGGTAAGGGGTGGGAGATGGGTGGGGGTGGAGAATGCAGGGTGGGGGTAGGAGGTAGAGGGTGGGGGTTGGAGATGGGGGTGGGGGTGAGGGGTGGGAGATGGGGGGGTGGGAGCAGGGCCGTCTTTAGCCTTTAGAGCGACAGGATGAGAAGGCAAAGGCAGAGGGAGGAGCCTCAGGAAAGGTGGTAAACATAAGAGAACAAAGGACCCTACCCTGGAAAATTCTAGAACTAGACATCTCCTGACCAAGAAACATGCAGCTCTTATTGTCTATCTCCCAGCCCCTGCTTGGAGCCACATCTAGGTCTATCTCTGCTAGAAGGGTCTGGGATGACAGCAGAAACTGGAGAGGGAGCCACTGAGCTGCAAAGCTTAGGCCAAGGTGAGTGAATGCCTCAGCCAGCAGACAGAGAGTCTCTTGGAAGTACGCGAGCTGCAATAGGGACGGTAGAAGCATAGACAAGAGACTTGGGTGCAAGGTACACAGTCTGGCCCGGACAAGGGCTCCTTTGTGTGCTCAGTTTACCCCTCTGCAAATGGGACAGGAGTACCAAAAAGGCGCCCAGGGGCCATGCAGGATCCTCTGGTCTCCATCTGAGGAGGAAGTATGTGGCCACTAAGTTTGTAGCAAAACAGAAACCAGAATCCAGGCTTCTGCCTCCACTCTGCCACAGAGCTGTATCTCCACAGTTTAATATACGGGAGTGGAAAGGTCATAATCAAATCAAATACTCTGTACAATCAACATGAAAATTTTAAAAAGAAACTGTTGATTAGTTTCATGTCAACTTGACACCATCTAGAGTCATTTGGGAGGAGGGACTCTTAATTGAGAGGACGCCTTCCTAAGATTTGCCTATAGGCAAGTCCGTTGAGCATTTTCTTGATTAGTGATCGATTGGGGGCAGTGCAGCCTATGGTGGGTGGTGCCAACCCTGGTCATGTAACCCTGAGTTGTATAAGAAGGAAGGCTGAGCAAGCCAACGAGCAGTGTCCCTTTACTGTTTCTGCCTTGGTTCCTGCCTCCAGGCTCCTGCCCTGCTCCAGTTCCTGCCCAATTTCCCTCAGTGATGATCTGTATATGGAAATGTAAGATGAAATAAACTCCTTCCTGCTCACGTTGCTTTTAGTCATGGTGTTTGTCACAGCAACAGAAACCCCAACTGAGAGGGAAACAATGACCCAAATATTATGAGAGCAAAGCATGAAGATAGCTGCCTCCCCCACGGCTTGGGGGAGACAAGGTGCAGCAAAGCCATGCACCCTAGGAATGATCCAGGACTAAGGGCATTAAGCATCTTCCCTTGGAACAGAATAGAGATGGGGCACATTGTGTTGTCTTTTATTCCCGCAGTGCTGGGGCGGGAGCTAGAGACCTGCCCACGCTAAGCAGATGCTGGACCACTGAGCTGCATCCCCAGCAATGGCTTAGTTCTAATTAGCACAAGGAACGAGGTGGGACCAAGCCAGTGAGCTAGGCACCGTGTCCCTGATACAACTATAGGATCCGTAGCTGGGGAGTCTGAGGTGGGGCTTGGTTGGGTCAAGTGGTTTCTTCAGCTCCTAACTTCATGGTTTTTCACAGGCAGGGACAAAGTATCATTGAAACCAGCTGAGAAGGTCGGACACCCAGGCGATTGGGACAGCTCTCCAGGATCAAGTTACTTTATTCCCTTCAGGCTGCACAGCCCCACATGACCTCTGGGAGGGCAACAAATGCTTGCAGTGTCAGAATACCTGGGGCAGGAGAGAGCCTCGAGTCCCAGGACAGCTGTGGACTGGGGACTCCAGACCTCTAAGCTCCTCCTCTACATGTTCTACTGGCCGGCCCTTCCGCAGACCCAGAAAAAGGGGATTCAAAGTACACCCTCAGGTTCAAAACTCCCAAGAAACCCAGTGCTTATGGGCCCATCAAGTCAGCACCCAGACTCCAGTTTACTCACCTGGTGCCACACACTATTCCAAAAGGACAAGTCACTGCATAAGGTGATCTCACCACCCCCCTCTGAGTGAACATCTAGGTTTTGCCAAACAGTGTATCATTACACAAAAGGCCACTGCCAATCCATATTCAGAGTCCACATGATGTGGTGGGGGCACTCCAAGGTGGCAAGGGATTTGAGGGAGGCTTCCTAGAGGCCTGTACTCTCCTGCACCCATCTTTCTGCTTGCTCCTAATCCCCATCATTTAGGAGTCACCCAAGGGTCAGCCCAGGGTCCCAGAAAAGCAAGGCGTGTGACAGCTTGCAGATGGAACATAGAGCTGGTTCCCTACCTGCTGCGGTGGGGCTCGCCCTCTGGAGAAGGAACAGCTACCATCCAGCTGCTCTCTGCAGTCAGCAGTCCACTGCAGACAGAAAGGAGGGGTTAGCAACAGCAGGACACAAGCTCACCCCCATTCTGCCTGCCTCCCAGCAGACTCATTAGGAAATCTGACTTGGCATTTTGATGGTAAACCCACTGCCGTGACCCATAGGTCCAAGGTGGTCCCTGGGTATATATGCCTGGGGAAGCCAAGTTCACAAAACGATGATGTTCCAACTACATCCTAAAGTCAGCCAAACATGACACTGAGTCACTCTGGACAATCAGTATCACCTCTGACCATCTGGCCAGGATCCAGCCGTGCTGGCTGTCCACGTTAAGGAACATGGCTAGAGCTAGAAGGCAGAAAGTGTGTGTAGCTCTTGAAGACCCAGCTTGGGAAGACTCCATAGATTTGGCATCATGGAGAAACTGCAGACAGCTATCAGAAGACTAGTGCAAGCTAAGGAATGTCCCAACATGTGGCTGACTACCTTCTATACAAGAGTCCCCAAAGTCTGTGATAGTGAGGCCCCTGGAGCTCATCCTCCATTTTCATTCACCTAGCATCTGCAAGGCTAGGGCCAAGGATCAGCATTGACAAACCCCCATGAGCTGCACTGGACACCACTGAAATGCATGTGTTCTCTCCCATGCTGGATCAATTTAATGGTCACAGCAATGCTGGGCAACTCTGTGAAGCTGTCCGGGACTATTGTCACCGCACACACATACCAAAGCAGGAAGACAGCCCCCTGCTGAGTGTGAATCAGCCACCAGGTAGTGTTAGACATTAATCAACCTCTCCAATTCCACCTCACACTGGCCTTAGCCTCCACTCTAAGTGGCATGCAAAACAGAAAGAGTGCAGCCTCAGTTAAAGCTGAGCAGGAGGGCTGCAGACCAGTGTAGGCACACTGGCTGAGGACAGTATGTCTAGGGCAGGAAAGACCTTCCACTGAGATAGACTAGGCCAAGTTGGAGTGTACTCCAGGGAAATGAAATGAAAGGCACAAAGATAAGCCATAGACCTGACTATACTTCCTGGAAGTCAGATTTAAAAAAAAAATTACTCTACACAATGTATGTTACATAATCTAATGCATCCAAAATATTATTACTTAAATAGATAATAAAAAAAGAAATAAGGTTGGACCCGTGTTTGTAATCCCATCATGAAGGAGGCTGAGGCAGGAGGATCCTAAGTTTGGGCTATGTAGTAAGAGAAACAAAATGGACATTAATTAGCTCTTTGACATTTGTGCTGGTTGGTTCTGTCAACCAGACACATACCTAGACATATCTGGGAAGATGGGATTTCAACTGAGAAATTGTGTCCATTAGACTGACCAGTAGGCAAGTCTGTGGGTCATTTTCGTGATTAGTGATTGATATAGACAGGCTGAGGTCACTGTGAGCAAGTGTGACCCACAGGCAGGTGGGTCTGGACTGTAAGAAAGCAAGCTGAGCAGGCTGTGGGTAGAAAGCCAGTAGCAGCCTTCTTCCATGACCTCTGTTTCAGTTTCAGACTCTAGGCGCCTGCCTTGAGTTCCTGGCCCGACCTGTTTGATGACAGACTGCAATGTGAAAGTATATACCAAATAAGGTGTTTTGTCACCACCACAGAAACCCCAAGACAACATTCTCTGAATAGCATTCTTTGCTTTGAAATCCATTCAGTAAATACTTCATATTGGGGGAGCCACATGTGGCTTGTCATTCTGTGTGGCCAGTCACTCTGCACTGGACAGAACAGTTCTGGAGAGATGGTAAGGCACCAGGGCCACTGCATACCCATCCCTGGTCTCTCTGTACTGCAGAGGTGGCCGCCTTCCAGGTTCCTGGGTGATCTAGACTCAGGCTGGGCTCCTAAGACAGGAAGAAGGGAGAAGCCAGGACATCCTTCCTCTCGACTTTTAAAGCCATAACTAGCACCAAGAGGGCATTCTTCACTGCTCCGGCTTCAACAGATAGGCTTGGACACACGGCTTTGACCCTGGCCACTAGCAAGACTACCTTCTTCCTTGGGTCTCATGTTAAGAGGTAGAAAAGGGGGGCTGTAAGTAGGTACTAATTTCTAGTAATTTAGCCTCTTAGGTCTTTTATACAGATAACCAGTTCCCAGAATTATATTCCATATGTTCAGAAAATGGTATTTTTTCCCCAAAAATTAACTAATTAAAAACGGAGAAGCCCCTCAGCCACCACTTTGATCACCTAAGATCAATACTACAGTGACACACAGCAGCAGCATGGGCCCCTGATACTTCATGCTGAGCAGGGAATAACACTTTCGAGGATTTTCATCCCTCAGTGACCAGTTTTAATGTGATCATGAAAAATACAAGACAACCCAGATAACTGACTTTCTCCAAAAATCACAGAGGAGTCACCAAAAAGTGTCAAGAGAGTAAAAGAAAAAGAAAACTCAAGGAAGTAGCACAGATTATAAAACAGGGTAACATACAAAGTAAATGTAAATCTGGATCTCAGAACTTAGGAAAGACATGGATCCCTGCGAATGTTTTCATTGTGATCATCACAACATGGTCATGGATACGCTCATGTCAGGGGAAGCTGGGTGATTGGGGACACCTGGAACTACTGCTGCACATTCCCCATGAGTCTAAAATAATTTCAAAAAAGGAAAAAGTAACATATATGAAGTCATACATAGATATACATTATGAATAAGTACATATACACATGTAAGTATGTGCATATAGACATTCAGGGAAGACATACACATATCCACATGCAATGTGTGTATGTATATAATGTTTAAAACACTATAAAAGCATGCCTTTGCTTTACATATTGGCACAACTCCTCTCCTGGGTGGAGTCCAGCTGAGGCTGTCAGGTCAGTACACCCCAGGCGTGTAGGGCGTGAAGCCGAGGGAACAGCCTCAGACCTAGAGGGCTGGCCAAGCCTCCTTGGGGGGACTAATGTGAGTGTTGACTCTGTGTGCAGAAAGTGTCAGTCATAGCTCCCCCTGCTGGATGTTTACAGCCTGAACACTGCTCCCCTACTGAGGTGGCTCTATTATGGTTATCTAAAGGCATCCCCTTGGTCCAGCTATATACTGTAATGTATATAATAATCCCACCTCTTTGTTCAGCAGTAATCTTGGCTCTCTATTCAATTCTATATAATAAACATGGTAAACTTCGGGGGGTGCTGAGGTTTCTCCATCTGAGAGCCCAGACCCCCTAACCCCAGGTTGTGTCTGTATGTCCATCTGTCTGTCATTCCTTCACTATCCTGGCCATAGCAGAATCCCTGGAGCCATGCAAAGACACAGCAAAGAAGGAAGGTGACTGTTAGCATCTCTCTTTCTAGGAATCCTAGACACTGGCTGGACAGCATGGATGTGACATCCCATAGAGTGGTGTCTTGCAGGTGAGTGCAGCTCCTGCTAGGGAAACACCACACATATCTATCTGTGTGGTAGCCTGCCACCTGGTGAGCTGGCCCAGGCTAGCAAGACAGCTCTGTTGTATCCACCGAGTCACTTCTGAGCGACTCCTAACAGATTGTCTGCCAGCGGCTGGCAGTATGGAAAGGGATGGGGGTGTCAGGCAGAAATGAGGAAGAGCATGATCCCCCAGGGGCTGGGAAGGGAAGGGTAGCCCATGAGCACACACTGAGGGTTTCCTAAAGAAGAGGGATCCAGAGCTTGGCAGAATCAAAACAGAGGCAAAGGGTGGATTGGATGTATACTATTGATATCAGGCCATGGACACCAGTACCATTTTCCCCATGGACAGAGTCAGGCAGCACCTCAGTAGAGTGGCTGGGGATGCAGACCTGGCCCAGTGAGTGGTGGATCAGGGTCAGGTTCCATGTTTCTTAGTAATGGTAAAGTTAGAAATGACGGATGGTATCTAGAGCTTGGGGCCAAGCAGCAGAAAGTGGGTGCTCCATGTAGGGGAAGGGGAGCACGGAGATGCAGCCTCTCGAACCATTGGATCCAGTGAATCTGACACAAGGCCTAGTAGGAAAGAGACAGTGGTTCTGCCTGAGCATTACCCTAACACCTGAGGGAGGCACCAAGCATGAACAATCACCTGATCACCCACTGGACTTGACGGACTCCTATTTGAATGGTCTAGCCACACAGAAGTCTGGGGTATTGTTTCCACAAGGCTCCCTGTTCACGGGGACACATGCCTCTGCCCTGTTCCTGGGGAATTCTCCTCCAAAACTCCTTCAGCCAATGGCTGGGTGCCAATCATAACATCTTCTTTCTTCTCATGTTACACCATGAATTGCCTGCTTCCTTTTGTCCCTCTGAGATGCTGCCTGGAAAGCTCTGGATAGACACCCCCACCTACCCAGACCTAGCTAAATCTGTTGGGGTGACTCTAGAGCAGAGTAGGCCCCCTCCTCTCAAACACTCAGTCACAAGCCTGAACTCCTGCACATGGGTCAACTGTTCTTCAGGGCAAATGGGCTCACATCTTGCACATCCCAACTACGAAGCCCCTCTGAGGGACTGAGGTGGCCTCCTTCTGGGAAAGGGCATCCAGTGAAAGAGCCAGGACATGTGCGGGAATGGTATATGTGGGAATAATGCACATCAGTATGCAACCGTGGCTTTAGGCCTTCCACATACCGCAATTCATATCTTAATTTAAAAATGTGGAATGAGTAGGACTAATGACTTGACAGACACTGGAATATAAATATGTATTCTGAACTCACAATGTTTGTCCCATCACTCCCTGCTCTTTACCGCACATGAAAAGATACTGCACAATTAAAGCTGTTACAGCCAGGTCATTCGAATCCCAGGATGTGCAACACTGTTTTAGCAACTTTGGGAAGGATGGGGTAGTCTACGTGGCAGTGAGCACTGGAGGAAGAGGAGGAGCAGGAGGAAGAGGAGGAAGAGGAAGGGGAGGAGGAAGAGGAGGAGCAAGAGGAACAGGAAGAGGAGGGTCAAGGCTTAGAGTAGGACAGCTGACAGTTAAGATACATATGCCCACTTTTCAGTGTTAAAAGCTTCCTCAGACTAGCCCCACCCAATATCGAAGCTGA